CCGATGATGGGTGTTTTAGAAACTGGATGATAAGGATTTCAAGTGTGGGTATTGAGCATAGGATTGCGATTTTGATATATGTGAGCGCCCACATATATTAAAGCATGGTCATAGTGATATGCGGTAGGTAGAGAGTGTAACTGTCCGGTGGTTTCAATATTGTTGCAGATGCAGGAACTGATGAGAGCAGAGCGCACGGAACGAATCTTCCGCTGCACGTCGGACAATATTTCGACAGGACAATTCGAGGGCAGTGCGGTAGCAAGCATTTTGGGCAAAGGGAGAGAAGGAAAAACTACTGTTCATCCAGCTTCCGTGAATTCATACTTCACGAGAATTCACGGGCAAATTCAGCAGAGTCGACGATTTGCAATTTATGAGAGCAATATATTGTTAACACATAAACAGCGAATGTGCTAGCAAATTATCAGTGCTGGTGAACTTTGGCAAAACTATTGATATTTAGCGAAGAAATTAAAATGCCCACATCACATTTTGAACATATTACGTCCTACAATCAATTATTGCATCGGCAATCAGAAGAAGCACGCGAGATCAAATCAAGACGGAGGGAGGACATGCATAACATCAGTAACATCGTCGGGAATCAAGATTATTTATAATTGTATTATGCATTGTTTATGTATTTTAATGGTGTTATTGTATTTGTTGTTGGTATTGGTATTTCGGTATGCAGTATGTATTATTATTATTAGTCGGCAGGAACTCTAAGGGCATTTGAGCGTCGAAAAAAAAGCAACAGAAATTATTTCAGCTGCAGTGGCGTTTTAAGTGAAGTCTGGCCAGAACAACATACTATAAGTGCTCAGAATCGCTCCAACAAATTTGCATAATTTGGCATAGAAATCCAAGATGGCCGCCAATTTTCATTATTTTGGCGCACTCATTTCTGCTATCGCAAGGAGCATGATTTGCCAGTAATTTAAAGTTCTATTTTAATTATTATTGGCATGGGGCATGCCATTTTAGCTATATTAGCAATGAAAATGGTCACTCTTGACTATGCAAAATGGCAATATAGGCCACCATAATTAGCATAGAAAAAAAAAATCCAAGATGGCGCCATTTTCATTATTTTGCAATAGTTCTGTATCCAAGGATGATATCTTGAGTAAATGAAAGTACTATTATGTGATTGTTGCATGGAGAATGCATTTAGCTATATTAGTAATAAAAATGGGTCACTCGGCCTAGACATGCAAAAAATGGCATATACCCTATCATAATTACATACATCCAAATTGCCCGCCATTTCATTATTTTGCAATATTCTGCTATCCAAGGGATATAATTTGAGTAAATTGAAAGTGACTATTATGATGATTGTTGGCATGGAGAAGCATTTACGCTATATTATAATAAAATGGCTCACTTGCCCTATTATAGCGAAATGGGTAAATCCAATATGGCCGCTATTTAATTATATGTATAAATGTTTATCTTGCATGAGGATTTCTTATTCGGATTGCCAAATGGTTAATTTGTTAGACTACAATAACAAATACTACGTACATATTTATCTCATTATTATCAATTCTAATTCTAATTTCTTAATATATGACAGTTAGTATTAGGATTTTTGTATTAGGAGACTTTAAAATGCAAAATTGCCAGTATTGAATTAGAAAAAAATATTCCACGGGATGGGCATAATAGCTACCACTACGCCACATAGAAAATCACCCAGTGCGCCAATTTCTAAAGTATGTGTGACGACTGCAGGCATTGCTGAAGTTGGACGCATAAACATTGAATACATCAAGATGCAACCTAAAATTCTACCTCTAATGTATCGGCCACTTGGGGATATTTCAAGAGTGGATGCAACTTCTCATCTCGATATATTGTAGAAAACGTCTCTCCTGTTAGGCTCTCATAGGCCATCGTGGTCACGGCCAGGTGACCATTTCCTACAGCACATAGTCCTGCGGCTGGGGGAGTTCCACACCGAGATGAGCTACCTTGGTCGCATTGGTCATCTGATGGCAGGGTCGGGACTGCAAGAAGTACTTGAGCTTACGTACGCTAGTAACTCTGTAAGCCACATGCTCACTGGTAAGACCGTGCCTCGAGCAGTGCGTGGACATATGCTGGTAGACGCTGCACTGAACACCATTCTTATTGCTGATGCTTACAATGTGCCCCTACCGACCAAGGAGACAGTGGCAGCACAGATCCCCAAAGGAAAGACAGAGGGTTTTGATGATCCCACCAACGCTATACAAAAAAATACTGAAGAGACAGATTTGACAGAGGCAAGAACATTGTATGGCAGGGCAATGTCTGCCACGATATCAATGGAAGAAGTCTGTTCTGCTGATGTTTTAAGGAGAATCTAGAGAAAAATGAGTAAGATGAACCAGAAGAAGACAATGAGAACATCACTGCTGGGGCACAAGGACTGTTCAAAGGCTCGTCAAACCAGAGATGTTAATGACACTCTCGATATAACCAGCTTTCTTCGAGAGAGAGACTCATTTGTTGAGACTATGTCACTTTTCAACGTTGGCAATGGCACAGCACAAGATTGTGACAGCACAAGATGGCCTCAGTGTTGAGTAATCCAGACGGATTGGTGAGAATATTCTTGCCTCTATGGTCGACAAATCAGTGGAAGAGTTCACGTTCCAGAAAGCTGACCAAGCAGTTACTATTGCTTCCAAATCTACAATGAAGATCAAAGAACAAGCTGTGAAAGTAGACCCGCAGCTGATATTCCAGAGACTGGTCTTTGTTGGTGAACGCTCTGGAAATTTACCATCACTATTCAAATATGAGCTGTGCGGTCACCCTCCTGCCTTGTTTGATTCGTACGGTCTTCCATTGACGGCCAGAAAGCCAGCCCTCGCCGATGCTCTGTCGAACATCGTAGAAGAAGTGCAACGAGAGCCCAGTTGAGCTATGCACTACGTCCTAGATGGTGGTGCTCTCCTCCATCGACTTCCATGGCCAAGAGAGTCCACATATGATGACGTGTGTAAAATGTATGTTACATACGTTGTGCATACGTATGGACTTGCTGATGTTGTATTTGACGGCTACAGTGACGGGCCAACAACAAAAGATGGAACACACATCAGAAGAACAGGTGGCGTCGCAAGTGTTACAGTCAATGTTACGGGTAGTATGGCCATCCAGACGAAGAAGGAGGAATTTATGAGCAACGCCACAAACAAGCAACGCATCCTGAACCATCTCAGTTCTGAACTTCAGAAGTCTGGTTGTACCACACATCATGCGAATGACGATGCTGACGTCCTCATAGTGAAGACTCCCATAGCATCCGCAAGATCTCGTGACACTGTTCTGGTTGGAGATAACACAGATTTGCTGGTCTACTACTCGATCATGCTGAAATGGATTTCCATGAGCTGTTCTTTGCACCTGAATCTAAACAGTCCTCACAAAAGAACAAGATATGGTGCATTAAAACAGGAAAGGAGGTACTT